ACATATATATATATATATATATATATATATATATATATATATAATTAAATACTACATCTTTAATGAGAGAATTTTGATTTCACCTTCCTTGCTTTGCACAGCTCTCACGCTCGATTATAAATTTATTTCCTTTGCTATATTTATTACAAGTTTTACACTTTAAATTTCAAAGTATAGATAAATGTTAGAGGTAAAGTCTAGCATTGAATGGGAAAGTTTAAGCAGTAGAGAGTAATATACTTTGCATTGTTTGGGCAAACATACTACTGCTTTATCTATAACATGCAGAAGTTTAATAGAGGTTGTAGAGAACTTAAGAAAGTATTTATAAATACTTTTCTTTTTTCTTTTGTTAACAGTAGCATATTTTGATTGTACGAAAAAAGATTGGTGGAAGAGGACATATAAATAATAAGTTCTGACATAGAGGTACATGTACTAAAGGTTTTTGTAAAGTATATACATACTATAAATGTTGAATTAAGATACTGGTTTTATGAAAAGTAGGTAAATAGAAATTTATTAGTTCTTTCTTTTCATGCAGCATGTGCTAATTTTTTGTAATGACCTAATGACATACTCAGTGAGATGGTCAAGATATTTTAATCATGTTAAATTAAAACATAGCCAATACTTATAACAACAGAATCTGGTTTATTACCTGAAATATGAAGAACCAATGTCATATTTTTTTTATTACTCCAGGTCCTGTTTGTCCAATAGATGTTTCTCCACTGTTACCTCCCCAGACAGGGGATCAGCCCATTGAAGATCCTACAAAATTGTTTCTAGAATGTTTATTAGATGGAATGGTGACCCAGGTAAATGAATACAATTTATTAATTGAGAAGGTAGTAAGTTTAGTTAATATTATTGTGATACATTTCTCTGCTTTAAATATTTGTTGTATTATATTTTCAGTTTAGTTCAGAATAACATTCTGGTATTTTTGGTTGTTTTATTTTCCCACATTTTTAAGTTTATAAGTAACAAGTAAATATATGGTGTGGAAATACTATGTTTTAAGGACTTGTGTTATTTTAACTTTTTCATGTTGTGTAGCTCATTAAATTTCTCATTACGTGCTTGGTTCGATCGACCAAGTTTGTGTTCCAAATGACTACAAGATCGCTAGTAGGTATTTCTTTGTGATATATTTGTCTGATGGATCTGTATTATCATTAACCTTAAGTTTTTCAGCACAGGCTCAGTCCCTTTGTACTCGGTTGCTGCTTGACATAGTTTGCTAAGCCTTTTAAAATTTCGCATGTGGAGGATATGAAATGAAATACTTTTTTTTGGTTTTATATATACATTTGAATAACAAAAAAAATTATAAATTACTTTGTCGATACCACGGAATTCCACGATAATTTATCAAGCTTAGTAACTAAGCTGTATTTAGGTCTAAAAAAAATATGAAATTTCGAGCAGACTAAAGACACAACCTACCTCCTTGAAATCTTTGTTCAAAAGAACGAGATAGCATTCTAACACATGAAAATGACTGAGAAAGCTACTAGGGAGACATTCTGAGCTTTTGAATGGTTATTCCTGTCATATATTAAAGTAAGTGTATATGAGGGAGCATTCCCAAAAATGAAAAGAGGTGGGCGGGGAGCCACTGTGTTTGATTCATTACATGAGTGATATATATATCAGCAAATACAAAATGTATGAGGTTCTTATTTTATATTCTAGCTTGTCAGTATTGGTAATTTGAGTTCCTGATTCATATAAAACTATAGACTTAGTATTTTGACATCAGAAACATCTAATTTCAACCAGTGCTGCATTCAACATACCACGTGACACACAAAAATTGATGTTTAACTGTGTTTTTTTATTATTTACTTTTAAATTAAGAAATTGAGTAAGGTATAATAGTTTAGAGATTTTAGTGTCTCCTCATAGGACAATCCCACCATCCTTGTGGTTCTTCTCTGATCCTTCTCCAATAATTCAATGTCCTTCTTGAGGAAGGGAACCCAAAACTGTACACAGCAATAATTCAATGTCCTTCTTGAGGAAGGGAACCCAAAACTGTACACAGTACTCCAAGTGAAGCCTTACAAGTGATCTATACAGTGAAACAATAATATACCTTGTCTTATATTCAATGTTTCTATAGTTGCTACCCAAAATCCTATTAACCCTATTGCTAGCTACAATACACTGTTTAGATGACTTAAGTGATTTTTTTATCACAACACCAGATTTTTGTTTTCAACTCAGTATTTAATGTACACTGAATGGTCACAAGTAAATAGACACCTAATTTTTCGTCATTTAACTGATTTATGCTAACTAATTTGTGTTCACAGAGCAATATATAAATGAAAATGGTCTGCACACTAATTATCTTGTGCTACAACATGCCTAGAATTCAAGGTTCTCTCGAATTGTCAGATTTTGTTAGTGGAAGGGTAGTTGGTCAAGCAGATGGTGCA